AATAAGTAGCTTCATTTAATAGTGTGAGTAAGCTTCAGTAGTTCTTGTTACAATGGCTATGATCTTAAAGATCTTCTTTTGTCAGATTTTCTTTCTTTTGAAGACAAGTATTCTGATCTTTTTCCACTCATGTTGGACTTGATAATATGATTGACCTGTTCCATGATTTCTCCTGGCAAAACAAATGAACAAAGAAACATAAACAACAACAACAAAATTAACGTTGAAAAAACATTTTTTTGTACACCAGGGAAAATTGTTTCCCAATCATTGAAGCCTTTGATGCCTTAGGCTGACTAAAATCCAATTTCTCCTCACAATATCAACCCTGAATCAAACAGTAGGGTATTGAGAATAAAGGAAATGATCACCAACAATACAGAGGCTCTTGATTGTTAATATGGAGAATACAAATACTGATGTCGACAAAAAAAAAACTGTAGGCCAGGGAATAATAATCAACTTACTTCCAAAAATAGACTATCTCAAATGCTCTTTGCTGTGATAAATTACTGCACGCAAAGAAAAAGACAAAAAATTTCTCACCTGCATCATCAGCATCAGTTTCAAAGTCGTAGTTTTTAAGGTTAACATTGTACTGAGGGGGGGGGACAGCACTGGGGTTTGCAGTACAGTGTTGGGATTTGACCCTTTTTTATTGCAGCTTGGTGGTGTAGAATGACTTACATTGCATTGTTGTGGTGATCTCAAACCTAATACAGTGTGTGTTTGTAGTTTCAAATCAACAGTGTTCGGTGGAATAAACCATTTCTGGTGTTGCAGTTTATTCTTTACTAGATTTTGATAACCTGCAGTGAACTGTTGAGCAAAATGAGCAATACATTCAAGTTAAACTTTAAAAAAAAAACATTTATTTAGCTGATTAGCCCCAGGCTGTGTTTTTCTAGACCACTACAACACCCACTATCAGCCAGCCAAAGACCAGTGCGTGGTAAAGATGAGCGAAACCTGACCAGGTAAATCCTGAGGCTTAGAGTACATGTCACGGTTTTGGTGTGTTGATAATATTTCTTGCAATGATTTGGTGTTTATTTCATTTTGTTTGCAGTGTTGTGGTATTCAAAACTTCCCCCCTCCCCCCTATGTCCCCCTCTGTACCTGAGGCAAGAGCTCATGCAGCCAGAGGTTACCTTGGTTTCAATAGCATGAACTGACTAAGAATCTTAATACCCTAGAGCTCCCCCACCCGCACACCTTCCTAAAATGGGATGTCAGTCCATTGCTTGGTTACACTCCAGCATTTGATCAGGCCTCCCTGATAAATAATCCCAGTATCCATCCGGATTTCTCCGGGGTGAGTAAGTCTGGCACTGTCTGTGAAAGTAAAGATTTTGACCTGGCCAGGTCTCAAACCAAAAATCTCTTGACTGGGAGTCCAGCACACTGACTGTTAAGCCTTTAACTTCCACAAGTGACTAATGCAGTAAATCAACGGGAGAATGTTTATGTAAAATCAAGTTTAATCAACAGAAGAAAACAAGAACAATGATTCAGCTTACAGGTACATGTGCTTTTAATTTTTGTGTCCCTTGGGATATCCAATTACCTCGTGGTATACACGTGCATGATTATATCACGAGTATAGCAATTAACATGTAAGTTCTCCCCATATTATTCACAAACTATCCAGGAAACAAGTAGTAAGAATACTCAAACTTATTGGGTAGAAATTGTTGTAACCAATTTACAAGGAAATGTGTGGCAGCTATATAGGGGAGAGTTAACAGTCAGGTCTTGGGAGTTTAACAGTTACGCCACTGTGCCTCCCATACATCACAAATGAAACCACGATAAAAAAGGTTCTGGTTACTCCGCAGAGTAAATATTTCTGATTTCAAATGGGAAAAGAGGCAAGGATGACCAATAGCAGTGCTCAAAATTAGCGGTCATCCGGTCTTCCAAGATGACCAAAAAGTTTACAAGGCAACCAATATTATTTTTAGTAAAATTAAGAGGCTGGATGTCCCGGAAAAGACAACGGACAACCCAGCCAAAAATAGAAAATAAATTAACCATGAACTGCACTTGACCTACGTGACAGTTTTGTTTTGTCAATGTCCGGTAGTGTGAAGATAATAATAATATGCCTCAGCAAAGCGCTTTCCTGTGTTTTGAGATCTTTAAATTTTATAAAACATTGCCAGGTACGAAAATGTAAGAGACAAACACAAAGTTTCTTGTCTGTAGGCGAACAAGATCAAAGACGCCACTTTGAATATGCCACAACTTAAACCCAGACTTCTGCAAAAACCATTGCCGCTCACTAAGAACTAAGCGATTAGTTCAAGCTTGACCGCCATGTGATTACATCTCAAGCTCTACACGGCTTGTAAATAAAAGTAGGTTTGTTACCGGGCAACCAAGGACTCATCAGGGCAACCAAGTTCACGGCTTTGGTTGCCTGGCTTTTGAAATAGGGACAAACTGGAATTTTTTTTAATTTCGAGCACCGCAATAGTTTCAAATTAAAGTGAAGTTTCTCCACTCCTAAGGTCTCAGTGGCAATTCTCCTTACGGTCTTCCATACAATTCTTATGATGTCGATTCAGAGAATTTGGTATTGAATCAACTAATAATCCCTTAATTGATATTTTTCTCTATTCTCATCACTTGTCTTCTTGATATTGTATTCAGATTGTAGAGAGAAATTCTGTGTTGGTTAGCTGTGCAAGTTAGAGGGCTCATTTAAGGTGGGGTGAGGCAGAAAGGGTAGCACAGGACCTGTCTAACTGGCAAAATACAGTCAAGTGGAAACCTGCCTTTTTTTTTTGCAGCCATCCTCAAAACATTCTCTCCAAATTTGAAACGATGTACTGTCAGTAATAATACTTACAAATGTTTGTTTTCCCTAGAACTTTTTTTCTTACTTGGGTTGAAGTACCAGGTCAATTTCTATCTTCTCAAGAGAAACTCCTAGACGGCAACAGAGAAAGACGTGATCAATAAAAAAGTTTATAAATGAAATACAAATTAAAGGAAAAGATATTCAAATAAAACAGGAAAAAAAGAGATGGGGTAATGGGGACAGTATATTTCTCTCACATTGTAGAGAGGGGGAGGGCAAATGCAATATTCAATAGTTGTTTAATACTTTTGAAACAGTCTGCAACAAAGACACTCACTTTTCTCTGAGTTCAAACATTTGAGAACACTATACAGTCAGGAGGGGCTTGGAAACTAAGCAGACTTTGAACTTGACTTGATGTAGG